TTCAATTGCCCACTAAAATTTACGAGATTTTTTAATCACAAAAATAATTTTATATTTTTGTTCCCCGCCTTAATTTAAACAGTGTAATACGTTCATTTATTCGCGTAATTTCTTTAAAACTGTGTACTCCACAATATGAATATTTGTGTCAATAATATTTGATGAGAAAGCCTATGTTAATCGTCAATATTTGACATTTCTAAACATGTTTTTTTTTCTTTAAGAAAGTAATCGTAAGATGGCGCCACGTTACATAAACAGAAATTAATTAAAAAATAAACAGAATTTTTTGGTAAAATCGAATCGTTACTATTTCCCATCTACTGGCCATATGTTACCATTAGAGATAACGAGACATTTATAGCTCGATTCAACGAATAGCGTTGTCCGAATCGATATACAGAGAATCGATTAATTTTCTATAAATGTTAATTCGCTCGTCAAACAGTCGGCTCGCTCGTTTTACTAATCAATGTATAGCGCTATAAAAATTTATGCCTACGTATGTTGTAAATAATACAGCTATTAATTGGCTTAGAGTATATTGTAGTTAATGTTATTAGTTTTGAAGTTAATTGGATTCTTTATTCCGTATAACGATAGCCTGTGACGTCATTAAAAAAAATATTATCTTGCTGGAAATTTAACACGTCAATTGTCACGAAAAACTACGGTATTAGAAATATTAAACACACTTGAATGAATCCACCAAAAGAGATAAGTTTTTCTTATTGTGATATATATTATGCTATCCTTTTTTAATCTATGCCTCTCTTTTCCCCAAATGTAAGGTAAGCATACGTATTATTAGCAATAAATTGGACAATGGAAATATGTTGTAAACTTTACTTATTTGCTTTGTTAAAACACATTGTAGCCGACAGATAAGGAACCTCTTTACACTTTTTTTTTTTCATAATTTTTATATTTTTGTATTTAGAACATATCATATTTTTTCTTCCTTTTTTATCTGTATTTTATATCAGTTGTAAATATATCCTCTGACAGTACGTGCTTTATTTCATTCTATATTTGCATTTTGTCTTTTTATTTTGTTATAAAAATTCCAAAATTCATCTTAATCCAACCCTTTCCATCCTCATATTTTCCGTCGTCTTTACACATCATAATGTAAAGTTCAAACTTTAAAAAACTCATAATGTTTACTAAACAGCATAGTGTTAATATAATGTGAGGAATAGGCCACTTTTTACCTCAATGCCACGAGCTCCCGCGGCGCTCCTCATAAGGCAATACGGTCAAAGTGTGAAAAAACTATCGGTGTCCAATCTTGTAAGATATTCAACGGATTAATATCATATCGATTTATAAAATCGATTATTTTTACATTGCATCGTACTTGCTTGTTACTTTGGATATGAAGGCGTGTCAGAAAAATTTTAATGTTTTTTTTTACAATCTAGAAGTTACGTATAATGACATCATTATTTTATCCATAACCAATTATTACGTGTACGCATGTTTTTTGTGTAATTTGACAGTGTTTTCTAATTCATATTGTGTTTGATGTATTTATCTGAAAACATTTTTATATTAGACATATTTATACTTAATATGAATTTAAATTGAATTATTATGAATTCTAATTCACTATTTACAATTCTAAAAAGCTATTAAATCAATCAAGCAATGACATTTAGTGTCAAGTGACATACAGTATGATTTAATTACGGTACATTTTAATCATACTATATATGTCGTACATTTTATGACAAATATATTTATGTTGTACATTTATGTTACGCAATGTATAGAATAACAAAATATTGACGCGCCTCAATGACATTTGTAGAATTTATGTCAATAATAAAATTAACGGAGTATTATAATAGTTTTCAATATTTATTGTCACAACGACATTTATGACATTAGTGTGTTCTTTGTTAATAGTTAGTGTTTTGATGCGTAAAGGAACGTTTGTTATTTTTTTAAATATAGTTACAGATAGTCGCAAGAAATATTTATGTATCCATAAAAATCAATGTACTACTAGCTGTCGTCCACGACACCGTCCGCGCGGATTAAAAAAAAAATAAGAAGTAGCCTATGTGTTTTTCCCGACTATGTCCGACTACATCTATGTCAAATTTCAACAAGATCCGTTGAGCCGTTCTGGTGATACATTCACATAAGCACCCATCCATCTGAAAGTAATCGCCAATTTTGTTTTCTTTTAAAAATAAGTTGTCACAATTTACAATGTGCCAGCGACACTTCGCAGAACAAAGTAAAATTACTGCCAGTAATATTGTATTAAAACGCAAAGAGGTTTAATTTGACGAGTTTAAATTATAATGCATTTTGTTTTCTGTTCTTAGAAAAACTGTTCTGTAAAAAACAGTCAACGGTAATTGTTATTTAATTGTAATTTAATTGCATGCACATTATTTGTTCGTGTGCATTCTCGTATGTTCATAGGGGACATTTTAGCTGGTACAGTCACAGAATTAAATTCGCTGCCCACTAACGATCGAACACCGCACAACAGATATTAAAGCTATACATTTTCAATCTATAGTCAAACACGGATATAAAACCAACTTAGGTATAGAAAATGTTGAACGTATAGCAATTTTTATTTACTTTGACTGGGGTGGCGCTAGTGAGCCGTCATAATTTAATTTGACATTCTAAACGTCAGATGACATTTCGCTGAAATGGGTAGAAGATGAACATTCTTGTACACTGGCTTGCAACATTATGACTGAACTGACTGAGTCCACTTAAGGCTGATAATTTAGAATTAACCGCGGCTATTTTCCATAACAATGATACACCGCGAATGTCATAGTAAATTGATTCAGCGTTAAACCTATAATAACACTGAGCCACTAAAATGGCGTATATTAAAATTATTAAAATGGAAATGTCTGAACGTCATGGAACGTACACGGAACGTCTTTATTCATGTTCATAATTTACGATGCGCAATAAAATGCTCTACCTAAAGATCGGTGTAAGAGTTAGGTTGAAAACGACGGTGCCGCTGCGCCCTGCGCCTGCGCCAGGATACGCGCATTAAAATGATGTAACATGTTGATGTAGTGATGTGACAAGTTATCGATAAACTATTGTTTTTATAATTAACAATCGGCAGACATAGACTAACTCCCTTAATTGTTACTCAACTAAAACACTGTCTTCTGCTAACAATAATAATCACAAATAAACTATGAAACTCTTTGAAGCGATGACCGTGTGAAATAGCGGTTTAGTTTTTTTTATATAGATAAACCTGCGCTTGAATACCATCCCTATTGTGCTTAACTGATGATATGGGCAAAGGATGATTTACGTTAGTGTAGTATGTGCTGTTTCACCCTACTCTTGAACATCAGACGTGCGACCAACGAAGGAATCATCCACGACAATAGGATCGCGACCTACTATATAAGCATTTAAAAATTAAAATGATATCGATAAATTATTCGCTCATCACTAACCATTGTCCAGTACGGCGCGGCTCATAAAATCTTACGATAAGCGCCATTATTGTCACAAAGAACGCGTGTAATTGTTTGTCAAATAAATACTAATAAAAATTTGATGTTTATTAAAAATAATTCTTAAGAGAAATACGACGTTTATAAAAATTTGATTATTACGTAAATTGCTTTAATGAAATAAAATTGAACCGAGTAAAATATATAACAAAAATATGTAAAGAAATAACAGGATAGCATTTTCTATTAAAAAGTAGGTGATCGTTTCATACCTAATACACGCTACAGAGAGCATTGTTGACGCAGTTGTTAATCGCCCAACAGATTCGGATGAAAATCTGCACGTCCAGGTTCAATCCCCGCCAACCAATGTGTTTTTTAATTTTCGAATTTCATATGTCCATCCGCCATTCTTACTTAAATATAGGCGAAGAAATCCAAATATGTATGAAGTCAACTAACCCACACTGGGCCAGTTGACTACGGCCTAGTCATTCTAACTTGGGTAGGCTCCGAAACCCACGGTGGGGACGTATATCTGACAAGGAGCAATAATTAATAGTTGGATAGTTTTAGACATTATTAGTCGGAATCCTTTGGCGCGAATGGCGCGCTTTCGTTACCAAGTCGAATGTCCGATTGATTAGTCAGGGGACATAGAAGTTGACATTTTAATAAAGCTAGTGTTGCGCCGATACAGCGACACAGTACCGTATTTTCTTCCCAACACTAGAAGACAATAATTATTAGATAAATATAGAAAGAAAAAATTTTTCATCATCATCTTTATCTAGCCACTGCTGGATACAGGCCCTAAAATCTTTATAATTATAAAAGATAATTTTACTTCAACTAATTGTAAACTTAGCCAATTCTGGTTACTATATTACAGTAAATTCACCAAACAAATCACATCAAATCTTCACCAATTAAATAACTCGAGGCCTTGTGAAGGGTTCAGGCAAGTCGTACGTGTCGCAATTACATGACCTCAAAGGACCCAAACACCTGACTCTGAGTGCGACCCTTAATGACCCATGATTGCATCTGCATATCTACACTTAATGATTTACGTTGCCGATTGTTAATTAACCAATTAGGATAAATACAGAGGATGGATTGGAATGTAATTGCATATACATTGATAATAAAATGCATACAACATTGCGAGGTCTCCTTATAAATAAAGTTGAGGGAGATTTATAGTTGGTTTCCGAGACCGAAATCTCTGTACCGAACATATCATCATCCTTGTCATTTCCTTTGACAATGATAGCAATATGTTTTAAACACGTATTTGGTATCAGAATCCCAAGGTTAAACTTTTACGAGTACGTTTTGTTTTTTAATAAATTAAATTATTCTTCCAATTTTTTTTAATGTCACTAATTGAAGGATGGATTAAATACAGAAAACAACATGGAATATAAAAAATAATTTTTATTTAAATCAATTAATATTTAACTACACTGGACGGAATATACATTTTTAATTCACTAACATAAATATTTAACAGAACTTTATGTTTACTTATTAGTCTATTTCCTTAATAACAAATAATATAAAACAAAAATACTGCATAGTTATAAATGTACAAACATACGGACCTACATCTGATTACATATACATTTAATTACCAAAGACTCTATAACAGTAGTATTTACAATTAGAAAACAAAGTATTTAAAGGCATGAGTTTACAATAATCTACAGTCGAACATTGATAAGCGAGAAACCTAAAACTTTGATAAATCTGTACTGCAGAGGTTTTAACAAAAACTACATTAGTGATCGAGCCTTTACGTAATCAATTCAATACAAGATTACGGTAGCTGTTCAACAAATCAGATCGGCTCTCTGCCTCAGTAGTTCCAATCTTATCTCGTGTTCCCTTGCTGCGAGCCTTAATGCAGCGATACTTGAACTTCGCACGTCATCCATTGCCGCGTGTGGAGGCAATGTTTCACTTCCCGGCGATATCGGAGGAGATATGGAAGGCGCGGGAGAGCGGGTTACCTCCGGAGATAGTCGGGAGTGTTCGGGCGAGAGACGCGGTTCGGGTACGGTTAGGTTAGCGAAGAGCGAGTGAAAGTGAGCGGGCGAGGTAGCGTACAGCGGAGCACCGAAGAGCGGCGGACGTGACAGCGGCGGGAGGTACTGCGCGCTGAATAGAGGATTGCTTGCGTACCTGTTTAATAAAAAGACAAAAACTGTTATAAATATTTATCAGCAGCTAACGGACACAAAGAGTAATCATTTAACTTTTTGAGGTATTAAAGGCTTAATGAGATTCCTTTCTCACCTGAAAGAGGCAAGTGCGCTATCAAATGGTTTCCTCAACCCGAAACCGAGGTGTGCCAAAGGATGTGCCGAGTGCGGCTGCGGGAGTGTTGCAGATGTAGGCAGCGGCTGCGCGTGCGCTCCGGTTAGGTAGCCACCGTACGGGTGCGCGTGAGGACCCACCTTCTCCTGTTTACGCCACTTTGCGCGACGGTTTTGGAACCACACCTATTGACAAAAGATATAATGTAAACAAATTTGGATAGTAGTTCTTTCTTATAGAATAATAAAATATATTGCTAGTTGTATTAAGTCTAAAGATATAAGACGAAAATGATTAGTTTTGATGTCATAGCATTTATCTTTTTTTTTGTTAGAAAAATATTTAATTACTAATTTCGTTAAACTTAAATACTAATTTCGACAGACATCTAGAATTAGATTGTGTCACGTTTTAACTTACGCGTATCTAAAAGTTAAATTGGATACAAGTTTATTTGAATTTTTAAATATTTCTAACAAATTGGTTACAATTATTGCAACAATTGAATATAAAATGTTAAGGAATCATGCATCTCTGTCGTAATATTTTAATGATGCCATGTTACAACTTAATTCTAGTGAATATATTTACGATGTCGTGTCTTCTAACATCGACTAACGACTAATAAAATTATATAAATTGTTAACTAATTACATTGTTATGTGTCAAGTTGTAAAAACAATGTAGTTACATTTTATTACGAACTTCTAACTATTCTAACAATATTATTGCGCAATTTTAATTTTTAAAACATTTAAAAGAATCTAGATAAAAACTCGACTATGAATTTTGAACTTACTAACTCGATTCGTACAAAATTGGTTGCATATTTAAAAAGTTTATAAAGTTGAATTACTTAAAAACTCAGTGAGTATTTCCATTACATTTTAGTTTAAACACACGTCAGCGGCCTTTGCGGATTTTTGACATATCATGGCTATTGAAAACATTATAATGCGTAGGTTTGCCAAATTCGCTTTTGACTAATAAGTAATGAAGTGATTAAACTGAAAGCAGCTTAGTAAATTGAAACACATAACCACATTTATGTCCGTAATATCTATCAGCGGCTTTCAAAGGGTTAAAACACAGTTTTAATTGTCAGTGTCTAGCTGTATTTTATTGAGTAAAACAATTAAATTAAATTTCATATTCACACAGGATGCCTTATTTGATATTTTTAAACGTGATTAATTCGTTTCAAAATTGCCAATGACACAGTGGATTACACACACATTTCTATGATTAAATTGCATTGCTAATTGCATATCGTGTGAACAAGACGCAGAATTTTGCACTGAACTAATATGGAATGCTTACGAGTCACTAAGACTTACTGGAATACTTATAAAATAAAACTAAGCAACATAAATTATCATCGTACTTTGTCTTTTATATTAAACGCCTTGTATCACCGATTCTATTAACAAGATGATTTACTATTAAACGAGGTTCAGGCTAAGCGCCATCTGCGCTCGGCCACCACAAGCCCGGTGACGCTGTAAATGCCTCTTTAAGGCAAACAGTGCTATTCAGTCACAAAAAAAATAACAAGATGATATAAAAACCCAATTACAACACTGTTATAAAAATATATAAAATAAAGAAAAAGCGTTTATTAATAAATATGACTACAAAATAACCCAATAATCGTTTAAATAACATTTACTTATTTGTATCATAAAAAATTGATCGTAAACGAAATAAAATGTGGCCTCAAAGTATGTTATTTTATGTAATTTTGAATAAAATTTTATTTATGAAGCATACATAATTATTTAAATGGAATATAATGTTTTTGTTAATGGAAATGCACCTTAACATTGCCGATTTTATGGCTTGATGACATTGCGACAAGCGCTGGCCGCTACGTGACAGAAATATCAAGTGTTTTAAAGCTCGAATAGTCTCCATAATTGTGGCCTTTTATTATGTTGTAATTGATCGTTATTGAGCCTGTTTATTTATAATTATGTTCAGAATAATTGTACAGTGGTTAAAATGTACGTTAACATTGAAATAATCAGTTAATTTTCTCTCTCTTTAATGTACCAATTTAACCTTACTTATATTTTGCTTAATGAAGGAATAAAATCGGCGATGGCTGTATTTGAATATTTTCGACAACAATGCCATTGAGTAATGTTTTCAAAATGTAATAATCGCACATTATCTCTTTATATTTGAACATTTTTGCTTATCATAATTTAAAGAACTAAATACATATAACTCTAATGAGTAAATTCAATAATTTATAAGTAAAACAAGTTAAATTAACAACACAATATGAATTTAATCACTTGGAATGAAGTTAGAAAATGTCATTTTAAATGTAGCAAGCATAATGTATTTCAACCAATAAAATGACAAACGTCACAAAGCACTGACAGCTATATAAATGAATGGAAAAAGAAAAATGTCGTTTTTCGTAATTATTTTTTCGACATTAACAATTTAATTATGTACATTGATTAAGCCATTTTCAGACATGCGCGAATTCGCTCACGTACGATGTTCACGTCCGACTTCGTTATTTCGCGAGCCGTTCGGCTTTTTGTGCTATAACATTTTATCGCTTATTATACTCAGAGTATTGGAATGAAATGGACAAGATTTTGTTCGTAATTATGAAGTATACGGGAATCATAAAGGTCGTTGCGTAAATATTACTCAAAAGGAATTTCACATTGGGTGATTGAAGATTCATGAACAATGACCATAGATCGATTTTTTATAGACCATTCTCAAATATTTCAACTTTAATTCTTACCTGAATTCTAGCTTCCGTTAGTCCTATTTTCAAAGCAAGTTCTTCCCTGTAACAATGAAAACAAATTTTATTATTATAATTTTATTACTAAGCAAGCTGTTCCGTCCGTGCGGAATTAAAAAAAAACATAATTAGTAGCCTTTAAATTCTTACAGACTATTTTCTATATGTATGCCAAATTTCATCAAGATCCATTCAGTCGTTTTGATATGCCTTCAAACAAACATCCATCCATCCATCCAACTTAACATTTGCATTTATAACATTAGTCTGTTTACAAAGATGTCTCAGTACCCCTAAATCATTCTTAATCTTGACTTTCAGTTCATAAACACATTCAAACATCCCTACAAAAACTGGATTACCGTATTACCAGTGGTAATTTCTGGCAAAAAACTATCTCTACGAGGAAAGTATGAATGGAATATAGGAAAGAGGACTTGCTTAAGAAGGGGGTTAATTCAGATATAACAATAGGAGGAGTAGAACTTACAATACCCATGGGAGTAACAACGGCAGGTTGATGAACTATTGTATCTCGACATATTTTAATTAACATACCTTGAGAATACATCAGGATAATGTGTACGACCAAAAGCTTTCTCCAGCTCATCTAGTTGGTAACTGGTGAATGTGGTTCTATAGCGACGTTGTTTCCTCCGCGGCATGTCTTCCTCCTCGCCGCTGCCGGATGGCGGCCTCTCCGCCTCAATGATGGACAACTCAGAACTGGTAGAACAACCTGCCTCCGATACACCCATATTCGTGTTCTTAAAAGCTTAGTTGAAACAGCTGTAACAAAGAAAAAAGCTATTAAGTAAACTTTATTTAGAAGTATATAAAATTACTTACATCTAACTAATATTATAAATGCGATGTTTGGATGGATGTTTGTTAGAAGGTATTTCCAGAACGGCGGCATGGATCTCGCAGAAATTTGACATAGAGGTAAAACATAGTCTGGGAGAACACATAGCCTATTTATTAATTTTTTAATGACGGAGTCGCACGCGGCAGCTAATAAATAATAAGACTCAAAGTATATTGAGGTTCGAAAGAATTTAAACCATGTTAGGGTTGCTGAAATGTTGCTTACAGATTCTAAAGTTTTTAATTTTAGTACCTGAATGCAACGTTATGAATAACTGACATAACATTGTTGATAAAAAACGATATTAATATAATTATCATCGGTGACCCAAAACGGGCCCTTTCCCCCTTCCCGCGAAGTCCCGTCAGGCACAATTAAACATTGTATCGCATTTCCCCATCTAAATTGCAATATGCACACGTCCGCTTTCATCCATTGTATGGTACAAGCGAAGAAATGCAATAAATTATAACGCACAATAACATACATAATTCTTCTATAATATTCAGTAAACGCTAAATAGACAAAACCTTACATGGCAGGATTATCCATGTTTCCAGTTTTGCTTAATTATTTGTCTTTCTTGTATGAAATACAATATACCAACGTTCTTACGTCAGTCCGCTTTATGCGTACCTAGATTTTTTTTATTGTTTTTTTAAGTTCGAGATTTGTTATCAAATCAATACGCAATATCTTTTAAATTTCATCATGTCAATAGAGTACCATCTGTAAACATTTTTTTTTAATAAAAAGTTATAAGCCAAGAAAATACGCTCGCAAAATGTTTGCTCAAAAGGTGTTTGTAATTTGCAAAAAACTGACAACAGTATGAGCTACGCACGACTGCTCGTTACACTTATTTGAATTTCAAGTAGCTTCTCTATTTATTTATTTTTTTCTAGCTCAGCACTTATAATTTTAATTTTATATTGCTACTTAACATTATTACAATCATCTTGAAGTAAAACAACGCTTTCACTGTACTTTTTTATATAAGAAAAAAACATCTTGTTCTCTATCTTCTTTCATCTGTATGATATTACATAAAAATGAAAGGGATAGCAATAGGTTTCAGTATTTCGGTTGTAATATTTATTATTATTTTTAAAATTTTAAAATACTGGCCGTCGCCCGGGACGGCAGCGTGGATTTAAAAACAAATTAATTAATAGCCTATGTGATCTTTTAGACGTCCTATATTTACGCCAAATGTCATCGAGATCTATGCAGCCGTTCTGGAGATACTTTCTAAAAAACATTCGCATTTATGATATTAGTAAGAAGAAAAATAACGATTATAAAATGATCATAAATCTATATTTTATTTGCTTAATAATTTACTTAAAAATCCGGAATATTCTTATTTTTATGCGTTAATCTTCATATATTTTGTGGGATTAAAATAATAAATTAAGCATCATTGCCGCATAAAAACAGTACAAAAATAACACAAAGTCATAATTATACTGGTAGCAAGAAATACACGCATTTCGTACGTATTTAAAAAAACTTGCCATCAATTTTAAACTCATCAGAGAATAATAATTGAAACAAATTCCTGCTAACTTCATTTTATACGTTTTAATGCAGTTTAAATAACAAGTACCTGGATGACAGATTTTTTTTTAAATTGTGTTTTTTGGAAATTATATTTAAGTACGAATTACTAATAAAATGATGAAATATGAAAAATATTTTTCGATCTTACCGATTGAAAAAGTTAAGTTTATGTTTAAGTTGATTATCGATAAAACACGAATAAAATGACATTTTCTAAAAATGATTCCTAGCTAGATCGATTTATCACCCCCGAAACCCCCTATATACAAAATTTTATGAAAATCGTTGGAGCCGATGCCGAGATTCCAATTATATATACTCGTATATATGTATCACATTCTCTTCACTTTTTTATTTACAACTCTCATTTTTATAAAAAAAAACAACGTATATTCGCGCAACAATTTTTGTAAAATCTTTTACCAACTAAAAAAAAACTTTATCGTATTTAATTTTCCTTAATTATACGAGTCTGTTACGAATTATCTAGTAATAGTTTCGGTAGTCAAATATCCAAGTTCATTTATTAATATTTAATTAATTTTAATCGTAATTACATTCATTATAATGCTAATTTGACGGTTCATGTTTTTACAAAATACCATTTAGTAAATTTTCAAAATACAATGATATTTACTTAATGCTAATAAAAAAATTCTATAAGCATTTATTTATAAATTCGAATTTCGAAATAAAATACAAACTTAAAATACAGAAAGCTTCTAAAAAAACTTTAGACGCTTCCAGTAAGTAGTAACAGTCTTTTGAAAATGTCATGTTAAAATTATGTTTAAATTCTTACCTAATTTAAATTTATTTCTGTTAACTTATTCTCCAATATTTGTTACAATTGCTGATGATATCACTTTTTATTTATTTTACACTGTAATATATTGAAAGCTTAATAAATTTCACATATCACAGCAACACTTTATTCATTTAATATTGTTAATATTAAAGCAACTTGTCTCTTGTACACCTTTCGACTGACTGCATTTAACAATGTCAATGCAACTCGTTGAAATCTTTAAAGAAATTGTCATGAACTAATCCTAATCTTGGGATAACTACAACATAGTAATATCATGATTTGTCATCAAGTACAATGACTTATTTTCCTTGAAATGCAACACCCATTGTAACCCTCTTAAAGTGTTTTATCTTATTAATTTGATAAGTCAAGAATAAGTCAAATGTTTTTTTGTTATTTTTAATCCTTTGTGAACTTTAAGAAGTGACTTGGAACATATTATTGAAGCTTAAAGTTCAGAATGTTAAGAAAGTGGAAAGTACTTTTTTAAATCCCATTTTAAGCTCATGTTTAGAATGCAAAGCTTTTGTTTTTTTTTATATTTTTTTTAAATATTAGTAGATTTTTGTCAATTTACTAATATTTCTTGTACCATTCCAAACTAAGATTGCTTGTGATAGGACATGTTTTACGATTGTCGAATGGCAGAATTCAATACCCCGACCTCATGATCGGAAATCCGTACCCCTAACCGTTAGGCTATAGGCGCTTAATTTTTTAATAAATATATCAAAGATTTAATAAATATGTATATTACATATATTTATTTTTTTAACTTAATAATAGTTTTTTTAACAATCTAATATTTCTTGTGATTTCTTGTGATAGAGTAGAGTAAGATTTAACGATGTTGAAAAAATCGTTGCACGTCGAAGCAATTTGAGATTGAGTAAATTTCAAATCTGTAATAATCTGATTCTATTGAGCGTGACGCCAGCGCCACCTGCAGGACATCTGCTACACGCACTAGTAATCGCCATTTTGAATTACAAAAAGAAATGAACATCGATTTGAAATTATATTCAACCCTTTAAGAAACCATGTCGAAAGCTTAACTAGAAACTTACGCAATTAAGTCATTCGATGTAAACGAGGATTGACGATTATTGTAACTATTGAACAACTTTTCCAATTAACTAATGATTCAGAAAGTTAAAGTTAAAAATGTTCGTCAATTTTATGGAAAATTAAGTGATTATAGAATATTGTTAGATTGAGAGTCATTTCACTTTTGATGCTCTTACAAATATTTGTTATCGTCTTTGTGTTAATTATTGTGAAAGGTTTTTGTTTTAACGATATTTTTGTATAATTATTAACACATTGTAGTTGTACGTATGTTGTTAATCTAACGACCTTAGTGATTAAGTCAAGTGTATAAAAATGTTCAATTTTAAAATAACAATTGACAATTTAGGATGATTAAAGTTATTTAAAAAATGAAATCTTACTAATATTATAAATACGAATGTTTAGTTGGATGTTTGTTAGAAGGTATCTCCAGAACAGCTGAATGGATCTCGCTGATATTTGACATAGATGTAGAACGTAGTCTGGAAGAACACATAGCCTTCTATTTAACTTGTTTTTTAATTCCGCGCGGACGGTATCGTGGACGACAGCTAGTACTAAATGCAGTGAAATCAAGAACGTAATAACTGACAGAAAAAACAAATATAATATCAGCACGGTGCTTTCCTATTTGGTAGTGAGTAAAAAAAATGATTAAATTAAATAAAGCAATCAAGAAGTTGATTTTAACGCTTCAACGGTCTCGTTGTGGATAGTAGAATAACCATTGATCGATTCCGCAGAGCGAGTAATCGCCGTATTGGCTGACAAAGTTTTTACAATCGAGTTAGCGGTACCGGAGTTCGTTTGCCTCTGTACTTGTCAACTTTTTGCCGTTTGCACAGTCTCCGGCAAAATATCAACTTTCATTTTACAAAGAATCGATTACAAATAGAAAATTGGTTGACTCGAATCGATGAATGCGAAATTATAATTCGTTAGTTTCATATACTTTATTTATTCGTTTATTTGAAAAGATGTTAGTTTATCGATCTATTCGTTAATTTAAGTGTTAATTCCACGAAAGCGTGTATTTTTAAATTGATGTTTGCATCTTTTTATACTTCACTTGTCTGCATGAACTGTATTGTTATAATTAGATTAACTCTCCTTGTATTTAAAAACGTGAGATTTATCTTTTCTACTAATACTTAAGACTTAACTACAACAAAAGAAAACAATAAGACAAAGAAAGAAACTCTTTATCAAATAATTAGTAAGAATGAGCAGTAAGTACGGTCAGCAGGAGAATCACCAGATAAAACCGGATGCCCGGTGGGTGACGGGCCAGTGAGGAATTAGAATAATAATAGGATTTATGGCGATACGGCCGGCGCCTGGCCGGATTTACTTTTTGTCTCTCGCCCCATTAGACATGGGTAATCTACGCTTTAGTATTCCTCTCTGGTATCTAACATCCACGAGTTTAATCACATTTAAAATTCTATTGCATTCCATTCCATTAAAATCGTGCTATTGAAAACTAACACATGTTTCAAATGGAAATGTATGATTGCAATTTAGAGCAGGCTTACTTTATTCACTTATTTTGGCGACATTTATTTTTTTTTTATTCACACATCATCATCTGCTCACTATACGTCCCCACCGAGGGACTCGGAGCCCACCCTAAGTTACTGTGACTAGGCCATAGTCAACCACGCTGGCCAAGTGCGGGTTGGTTGACTTCACACATATCTTTCAATTTCTTCTCACATATGTGCAGGTTGCATCACGATGTTTTCCTTCACCGTAAGAACGTCAGATAAATATACATATGTAAATCGGAAATCGAAAAACGCATTCGTACATGGCGGGATTCGAACTTACGACCTGCAGATTGCAAGTCAAGTGCTTGACACCTGAGCCACCGACGCTCTTTTTCACACAAGATTTGTTAAATCCTCAAATATAAGAATTAATAAACAACGAGCTACTGAGAAATCGTTCTTTTTACTTTAAACATCTAACCGTGGGTTTCTGGCCAAAATCCTATTTTAAAACATATTGTTATCTCTGTTTTGTCAAAGATAATGACAGGGATGACGATATGTTTCATACAGAGATTTTAGTCTTAGAAACCCACAGTTGGTAAATTACCTAACTATCCCGGTGACAAAGATCGCGAGATGAATATTTATCAATTTTAATTTGACAATTGCACATATATTTGTTTTGTTTATTTAATGATTCTTCCAAACTGCAATATTCAGTTAATCATCGATTCTCAGAATTCGGGGATTAGATGTTTTTGTCCATTAGGTATGGGCTTAAGTGTTAATGTATCGGATTATATCACCCGGGCTTCCAGATAACACGCACCACCGTCTGACTCCAACGTCCCTTGACTGATGTCTGTCTGCTACCTGATAACAACCACCCATTCCACTTAATGGTAACAAATAAAGTTCAAATTCCTTCAACCATTTAAGAAGGCAGTACTAAGCTACTGTAACCATGAGCGAATCTAAAAAAAACATTAAAATGTCTATTCAATTACAGAACACATTACAAAAACACGGCTCTTTAATTAACTTGTTAATTAATTCCTTTGTTAGTAACGAATTTAAATTTACAATTATCAAAGTTTGAAAAATTAGTGCAGTGGATTACAGCCGCTTTAAATTCACGACCGTTTGCATAATTAAATTTTGTTTATTAAAAACTTTGAAGACTATATCATCTTGGTATTTATAGTTACTACGTTTTATTGTTCTTTCCACCAAATCTTGGTAATCTATACGTCTGGATTAAAGGTTAAAGATCAAGGCTTTAGAAACTTGATGTTAAATTTGAATTTGTATTCTTCTTAATTCATCCTCATCTTCTTAATATTATAATTGCGAATATTTAGATAGATGAATGAATGGATGGATGTTTATTTGAAGGTATCTCCAAAACGGCTCAACAGATCTCGTTGAAATTAACACATAGGCTACTAATAAATTTTTAATCCCGTGTGGACGAAGTCGCGGGCCTCAACTAGTTTTTCCGTAAATATTTTAAATTGAAACTAAACCTAAACCTTTAAAAATCTCCGTGTATTTTAGCTTAACACATTTTTTAACTATACTGCTTCTAATATAAAACCGAACCAGAACTCTGTTGAATGTTTAATGAATCCAATTTAAAAATTATTAGAAAACGTCTTACGTTTGTAAATAAACTTATAAATTACTTAACTGGATATCTTTATTGCTTAGAATCAATCTCACGTAACATCAGCAAGGCACTAAATTGAGTTCTCACATAACAATAGCCCGTGGAATGAGTGATTCTGACCAATTTTTTACTAAAGGGTTGGCCGAACTCAATTTGATTAAAATTACCAATTCCAATGACCCATCATTCTTTTTTTTAACCGTAAAATTTATACTCAATTTAGAAGTTTAAGAATACATCGGAGGTCTACGTTGTCTGGTCGGAACGTACCCCTTGTGATGACTTGCGGATGGGTCCAGAACGCAAGCAGCATTGTCGATTGTATTAAAGTTAATTAGATCTTAATTAACATTCTGATTTCTTATTACACGCTACTCTGCGCTACCAGGCTATGTCATAAGAAAGTCTGTTAATACCGAGCGATCAAATCTTGTTTTTTTTATACCTAGCGGTGATTTTTTTTTGTTTCCGTTCATTAAGCAAGAAAATTAGGTTAGATTTAATCGTGATTGTCTTAACTGATTACTGTTACGGTGCAAAATTAGGTATTTCGAAATTAAAACTATTTTTTTCGGTAACAGATTTTTGTATAACAGAAGGGGACAAACGAGCAGCGGGAACACCGAGGTGTTCAACGATGCCAATGGACATCAGCAATACCAGAGGAACCATGCGTTGCCGGCCTTTGAGCTGATTCGCTCGCTTCTTGAAAGACCCTAAGTCTTAGCGGTTTGGAAATACCGCCGAGGACAGAACATTCCACGACGCAGGAAGTTTCGCGCAAACCGCACGGTTGTGGTTTGCCAGCCATCGAGATGGTGTGGATTTGACGTTACCAAGCACATTTAAACAATCTGTTTAAGCTATCAGATAGAGATCAAACAAACTAAATTAGATTTAAAAGAAAACGAAATTTTTGTAATATTCTTTTGTTTATATAATTATGTTTTACTCAATCCGTTGAAGTGGACGCATTTTCATACAAAATGTTTTTCAATATAAACTCTTTTTACCGACGGACTTCACAGGTTTTCTACGCCGAAATATCCGTACAAAAACACTATGTACCTTTGTAAAAGCTGTCTCAGTATTTTCAAGTAGAATAACAAGGATTACGATATGTTCATTAGTATGTAGTTTAGGCAGACAGGATTGTCGTCTTTAGCACATAGTATATCAAAATGTCAACCACTGGCCAATTGCGAGTCGATTAACTTTACACACATATCTTTGAATTTCGGCGTAGATAGGTTGCATCACGATGTTTTCATTTACCGTAAGAATTTCTAATGTACTTATGATATTTGATAATTGAAAACTACACTAGTATATGCTGAAGATTGACCCCGGACGTGTAGATTTCGGTCTAGTTCGGTTAATAATTACGTTACTGCATAAGACGCTATACAATGATACAATAGCGTAAAGGAATAGATAAGATTTTTCTTGGCATTCACACCTACATTTATAGATGGAACTAATTTAAAAACTACTTCTTTTGAAGTAGAATAGACCAAAGACAATTATTTAAATGTCATAAAATCTTAACAAGAAGTCTGGAAGAGGTAATCCAAAAGAGCAACTAATTTGAACAACATCGTTTACACAATCTAGAAGTAAATGAAATATAAGTTGTATAAATGTTTTACCTTAATAATAAACCATAAATTAACATCGAAATAACTAAAAGAGTAGATATAAAGTTAATCAATGGACCACAAAGAACGCACGGGATGCTGCATCAATAAAAACGCCATAAAACAAGATCAATAACCACAAACGTACTATTGTCTGGCCAAACAAATCCTAACAGCTTTTATAGAGTTCCCAGATATTTATAAGTTACATTTAAAACTGACCATAATACAAGCTATAAACAAAATTAACAACACAAGGGCCCCCGCTGTTTTCAATTTTGAGGCTGACATCGACCCTAATTCAATAAAGCAATAAAATTCACCTAATTATGCAAATGCTTTTAAAATATCAGACGTTATGCCTTTTTTGAATGTGGAAAATATGACGCGACGTCAAGTGGTCTTGTTACATTGATTTATGTGCACCCGACCCGGTCTTATTCAATCATAGATGTTGGAACCATAATAGTACATAGCTAAATTAAATGCCAATTAAACTTCGTGAGATTTGGTATATTTTTAATTAATTCAATTAAAATCTATTAAAATAAATTAATCCTTCAAATAAAATAATTATGTAGAAAAATTATTAAAATTACAAAAGTCTAATTATAATTTAATGTTCGATTCTTAATTGAAACGTCAAATTATAAGTTAAATTTTATTTATGTAAATATTAAAATTAAAAACTTCCTGCTTAAAGATTAATTTTAGAATTATTTATTTTCATAATAAATATTAATTATAAATTAAATAAGTTTTATAATTATCTTTTTTAATTAATTTGATATATCAAATATTTATAACTGTAGTTTATATTAATAGCAAACTTACCAGGCTCAAATTCCTCAGATCACAAATTATGCGTCAAACTTTTTTTTTATGATCGTATATTAACACCAATAAATAGCTGTAAAACGCCGCAGCTATTTACATGATACAAAGTGACGCCTCGAGCACAAGCAACTAATAAACTATGACACACTAACGCCTTCAATCGACTGATAGAGAATAAAGACTGTCCGCGGTCGCCTACGCACGACAGGGAAATGAATAATAAAAAAACATAGCGGGCCAAAGCCACTCCCCTGCGGCACACCGGGCCAATAGCGGGGCCGTGATACGACGACAGGCGCGAGGGTGGGCCACAATCAGTCGATACGGGTCTCTACTTCGATACCGCTAATTGACTTTATCAACAAACCGACTTTACTGGTCGGAGTCACGATATATGCGTTTGTCTGCCGCGTCAAAAGCCTAGCCGCGGCCCACTGCCGTTGTTGGCGTAATTAAGTATGCGCCGTGCAAATGGGTGATTCCAGCTCCAACCTACAAGTGCACATCTCTCACGACAAATCATTTGTATAACATTGCTAAATTAAATGAGATCGCAAACGATTAATGCATTTGTGTGCAATTTTTATCATTTTAGAGATTAAAATTAAATACTTATTTACTAAAGTTGATTTATTGATGAATTGAAACTAAATACATATCTACGTATATTGTTAAATACATTTTTAGCTCGGTAATGAAACTAAAAAAATAATAGACTAACAGTCTGGGTACCACAATTATTAAATATTTTATAGTGTACTCGTTAAGTTCAAAAGCAAGACGAAAAAGAAATAACTACTAAAACTTCTTTGTGCAATGGCGTCATATAACTTGTAAAATTTAACTTAGGAACGTTTTTTTGTAATAGTTATTTCACTGTACTTTTAGTTAAATATTATAAATAATTTTCTTAATCACGCTTTAACTGCAGTGCTGCCGAATTCGCCTAACTGGGTTTCCGTGAATACCAAAAATTATTCAAATATAATTACGACAAAATTGCGTGAAATTCTAAAAAAATATCACCGTTCACGCAATTACGGCGTTAAATAACTCGATAGATTATTACGTACAATCAAATGAATGCAATTTGCCCAGAATAACGACGTCAAAAACGTCCTCATTCGTATTATAAATGTTTTTTAATGAAACACGACGATTGTTACGGGACAGATAAGCGAACGTCGCCGGCCGACACATTAGTGCGCGCGTCTGATTACAAAATAACAAGGATTTCCTCCCGCGAGTAATTACACCAATTATACAAATAATAACACATACACATTTAACAGTGGTAGAGCCCGCTTTAACATCTTCGCACGAATTGGCCCGGCTCGCCCGGTGAAATACCACGACCACACAGAAGACAGGCGTGAAGTGGAAGCAATTCCGCGTTTCGTCTGATGAGTGTGCGTCCCGAAGGCCTAATAAAGTCCTCTTTCCCTTTCCACTATTTTTCTTATAAGGAAAGGATGTAAAGTGGAAGTGTACTGTCCGTATGAGAGGATGCATGGAAAGGGAAGATATTTTCTTTCTGTGCACCCTCTCCTCCGTCGATTAAAGGTAGGCAACGCATATGCAATTGCGTATGTCTATGGGCAACGGTCACATCGCTACTTCAGCGATTTCAGATGGCCGCTCGCTCGTTTGCCACCTTATGATATAAAATAAATAAACAAACATTCCTAGTCGGTACAAACGCTCCGCAACCAGAGCCTTCTGTACCACGAATTATTACTAACGATGTAATTCACAATCACAATCAAAATTGGCCCATATTTAATTTTGGGAAAATGTAGAAATAAACGTTTTTATTTGTGTAAATAACACAATAAAACTACCGCCGCTATTACCGACACACAAGTTTTGTGCGCACCGAATTATACAGATAAGATCTGTGTCAACGTAATTGTTATTTTATGTCGTTAGTGCCCCCGATCGTGTAAATTCAGTTAGGGGAATGTGAGGTTTTATGTTATGTTTTTTTATTCTCAATATGCATTCGTGTTGCAACCGGAAGCGGACGGGTTAGGAAAAAATTACGCGCATCCGTCCATTATCAGCTTTCGCAGTTATTGCTATAACTATAATTATCTTTTGAAATCGACACTCAGTTTGAACAGCTTCCGCTCAACGTGTGGCCCTTAATATATTAGATACTAGCTGTCGCTCGCGATTCCGTCCACGCGGAATTAAAAACAAAATAAGTAGCCTATATGCATCTTCCAGACAATGTTCTACATCTATGCTAAATTTCAGCGAGATCAGTTAAGCCGTTCTGGAGATACTTTCAAACCAACATGCATCCATCCATCTAAGCATTCGCATTTATAGTATTAGTAAGATTTATTTGTATAGGGTTTACACCATCTCTTTATCTATATAAAAGCTTTTGTGCGCGATTTCTGCGCAGAATTCTCTGAAAATATCTAATAGACTTGAGTAGCAGACTATGTTCTATATATGTGCCGAATTTCAATAAAATCTGCTGAACCGATGCGGAGTATCAAGTAAATATGTAAATTAAACGTATCCCACATGGATCGTACACATCTTTAATCCATACTAAATTTCATCGAGATCTATACATCTATAATGGATATACCTTTTAACAAATATCCATCTATCCATACATCCAAAAATTCGCATTTATAATATTAGATATTAGCAAGAAGTAAAATAAAATAGACCAAAAAAGTAAAATGAACTTTTATTTAACTTAATCTTTAACTCAATAAATAAGCCGCTGTCCTTTTGTGATCGAATATAAAATTCGTCTTTGGAGTTCGAAAACACAAATCACGTTCGCTTCAGATCCGAAACGAAACGGTAACTCAATATTTGTATTAATGACATCATGAATTGATTATTTACGGCGTGATGTAGCATCCTTCTGTACAGAAAATTCATCGTCACCGAGACCTCTCTCAGATACGAAGCGACTCGATGTGACGCACTAACGAAATTTACTCGGCTTTGTTATCTTCAGAACAAAAAGTCAAATCGAGTTACGCTTCAAAACAGACAAAATCAACGAACAAACACTATTACCTCGGCCATTTTCGACCGGGATCCGCTCGTGATGATGGTGTTTTTCAGACCAACACTGACACTTCATAAGCGATTCTTTTCGAACAAAATTTCTACGAACCAAATCCATTGCTTCTTAAAAACACGCGTCATCGTTCTAGTTAGATACAAAACAAGTAATGGATCACGTAGCTTATATTGATCGGCTGGAGGTTCTTGATATAGTTTGAAGGCAGGTGGAAGATTAAATTCACGATTTATCTTTTTGGAATGATCCGTTCGGTGTAAACAAACTGCTCGCCGACGAATCGATTGGTCTCGGCGTGCTCGGAGCTCGCAGCCGCAGCCCGCAGCGCTGACACTCAAAAAGAACAAACACTCTTTGAAGCATTGATATTCGGCCGCGTTTTAATAGGATGGGAAACAGTGGATGATCGACTCACTTCTTTTAATCGAGCAAGAGAGAGCAAGCATCTTTATATTAATTCTACTCATCAAATTAAATGAAAGACATGAGTTGAACACCATACAAAGCTTATTAATGTCATCTAATTGTACAAGCAATAGAACTGCTTACAGATTGTTAATAACTATCTCTCTCCCGCGACTCAAAAACTTAATAAGGAACCTATGTGTTCTTCCAGACGATGTTGTACATCTATGCTTTATTTCAGCGAGATCCGTGCAGCTATTCTGGAGATACCTCTGAAGAAACAAGTCTATCCATCCATCCAAACGTGCATATTTATAAAGTTAGTAAGTTTACGATAAAATGTATTTTTAGAGGCAAAGTTGCTTTATTAATGCTAAGCCTCACATATTCTTGTTAAATTCTTTCCTCATTCTAAGCGTATTTATTTCTCAATTTACATTGTAACATTATAGTAGATCCCTAATGGATTCACATTAATCCGTCTATAACAATCGACGTTAAGATGAGGATTAATTTTACTATTTTCGCACATTTTATGCGTTGCAAAAATAACTAATTAATATCGTCAAATCTACCTTCGTAAATTGAATACGTTCATACAAAGTAAGTTGGAATGAGCACTAAATGAAGTTATAGCGCTTCGCGGACTTTACTGTGCCGTAAAAACATGATCACGGAATGGCACTTAAAATATGTGCAAAAGAGAAATAAAGTTTTATCGCTTCATTACAAGCAATGGCCGAACGATACTCAATGTGTTGATGTTCTTTAAAAATTACTCTCTACCTTGTTAGTGCTGAATAATTTATAACAATATTGAATTTTAACTATATTAGTAATGTTATTGTTTATTTCAGCTTTTATTTTTATTAAAATTTTCCTTTAAACTCTAGTTTATTTTAAGTTGTAAGTCTTGAAGGATTGTTAGGTGGTAGAGCAAAATTTGTATGTGTAGTTAGACTTTCCTTTAAATAAACCGATTATTTGGTTAAAATACTTCTACACAAGAGAAAGCGAGAAGTAAGGTCTTAAAGAACACAGTTTTGGCGACCCTTAGGAGAGTATCAGTAGACCAAAACATATTTTTCCCAATACTTTACTTATATTCATCATCAGCTCACTATCACCCCACCGAGGGTATCAGAGGCTATTAAGTTAGGGTTACTAGACTATAGTCAACCACGCCGGCCTAGTGCGGGCTTCTTTTTAGATATGTGCAGGTTGCATCACGATATTTCCCTTCATCGTAAGTACGTCGGATAAATGTACATATGTAAAACGAAAAACACATTGGTACATGGCGGGATTCGAACCTAGGACAACAACGGTGGTCTTGGGATTATAAGTCTAGTGCTTAATCCCAAAACCACCGACGCTCTTCGCTTACTTATATTGTTTTAAAGTTATTATTACAATCGAACTTAGATTAGCGAGAAACTTCTATAAGCGAGAGTCGTGTTCAGTCTCAACGGACGACCTCCATAAATGAAAATATTATCACTTTCCTTTGAACTCTTGCTTATCTAGGTTTGACTGTACTTATAATACATTATTGACTTTACTGATCTAATTATTCTATAGTTTATTTTTCTATCATCCAGGATGTCCTAATTGCTTTAAACTTTTTTCCATTCAAAGTATCTTTCCAGTTCAGTGCTCTGGCGGATGCTGCTTCACCGTAGATAATAAATAATAAATGTGATTTCATGAACACAAT